CTGCACCCCCACCTGGCCCCCACACACCCGGAGGCCACTAAGGGTAGGCTCTGCACCACCCTCTGCAGATAGCCAGTCCTGGGGAGGGAGGCAGGGGCGGGCGGTGCGGCCCCAACCCGTCACGGCAGGGCCTGTTCCCGCAGGAGGAGTGGGGGGCGACGTCCTGATTGACATCGGCTCGGGCCCCACCGTCTACCAGCTGCTGTCGGCTTGTGAGGCCTTCCGCGAGATCATCGTCACGGACTACTTGGAGCAGAACCTGCGGGAGCTGCAGCGGTGGCTGAGTGGGGAGCCCGGGGCCTATGACTGGTCCCCCGCGGTGCAGTACGTTTGTGAGCTGGAGGGAGACAGGTACCTGCCCGCCGCCCCTTCTCAGACAGGCTCCCCGCATGCCCTGCTGCGCCAGGAGCAAGTGCAAATGGGATGACCACTTAGAAAAAGTCAGGACGTAATGAAATTGTTAACTAGGGGGACGCGGGGTGGGGTGGGATGGTAAGGATGTATCTAGTGCACTGTCCCCCACGGCTAAGAGGGCGTGAGCGTATCCAGGCCACGCCTTTCCCATCTGTGTGACAGGGACAGTGCTGTCTCCCTCAAAGGTTCAATTAAAGGCCTTGTCCCGGTGGGGGGGCTACGGTCAAGGCCGTCCCAGACCCGCTGTAACAGTTCCCTGCGCCCCACCTAGGAGCAGGTGGCGGGAGAAGGAGGCCCGGCTCCGGAAGGCAGTGACGCGGCTGCTGCAGTGCGACGTGACCAAGCCTCATCCACTGGAGCCGGCGCAAGTGCCGCCAGCGGACTGCGTGCTCACCCTGCTGGCCCTGGAGAGCGCCTGTCCCGACGTGGCCGCCTACCGCGCGGCCGTGCGGGCCCTGGTCGGCCTGCTGAAGCCCGGCGGGCACCTGGTCGCCATGGCGGCCTTGCGCTCCCAGCACTACATGGTGGGGGCCAAGAAGTTCTTCGGGCTCCACCTGGAGAAGGAGACGGTGGAGCAGGCTGTGCAGGAGGCGGGCTGCCAGGTGCTCCGGTGCGACCACCGCCGCCTCAGCTACTCTGAGGCCTGCTCCATCAACGAGGGCGTGTGCTTCGTGGTTGCCCGCAAGGGCCCCGCCCCCTGAGACCAGCCTGGCCAAGCGGGGCCTGCCCCGAGGGGAAGTCGCAGCCGGCAGGGGCACAGTCCCGCTCCCTCGCCCCTAAAGGCCGGAGCTCCGCCCCTTCTCTCCTCTGACCTGCTCCCAAGGTCACAGGTGCAAAGCCAGGATCCCTTGGCACCCAGCCTAGGGATCTGTCCTTCATGCCCCTCCCTTGCGACCCTGCACCAAAGGTCATAAAAATAAAGTGGATTCACTGGCCACTGTCTTGGACTGACTTCTCGCCAGAGCAGACCTGGAGACGAGGGTTTGTGTGCAAAGAGCTAGGAGAGGGAATCCCAGGAGGCAGCTAGAGAGTATGCTCCCTGCACCACCACCACTGTGGGCACCTGCAGCCCCTCACCCTTGGGGCTCTTGCCTCTGAGTGACCCCGTCTGAAGGGCCTGGGACATTTGTCTGCCAGCTCCCATGGTCACGGCTGGGGGCCGCTGCAGGAGGCGTTCGTCCCCAGGATGTCAGCCAGCCCGCCGTGGGCAGTGTGCAGCCCGTCGAGAACGCCCAGGCCGACTCCGGGGACACTGGCTCATGGAAGTGGGGCCTGCAGGCCGAGGGCCAGGGAAGAGACACCAGACGGGAAACGTCCCACTGGCTACAGAGTGGGGCTGGTCCTGGGCAGCCTGGTCCTTCTGCCCGGACCGGGGTGTGCAAAGTGACTTGTGGGTCACGTTCCTGTCCCCCCCCCCAGGAGGGGACTGGGTCCTCGCAGACAGCTCAGTCAGTGGAGTCGGTGATAGAGCCCACGCGGGGGTTTTCTCCACGGGACCCCTCCCCCACTACAGCCCAGGCTTCACCTCCAGGCAGCTTCCAGCAAGGGGTACAGGAGACAGCAGCGACAGGAGAGGGATGGAGCCAGGGAAGAGGGCAGCCTCCACTTGCCAGCCTGCTGCCAAAGCCTGGGGCTTCCCAAGCTGCTTGTGTCGTGTGCCTGGGTGTCCCTGAGCCTCCTGTCAGAGGGCAGTGACAGGCAAGTCCTCGTCTTTCCAGGATCAGGGACAGCTTGATCCCTGGATCCTGGGTCCTCCGGCAGAGATGGGGCAATAAGAGGCAGCAGTGGCTCCTTCTGACCACCAGAGGGCAGTGCAGGGCAGGAAGCCACCAGCAGAGGCTCCGGGAAAGCGGGAAAGCGCTGAGTCCCTGCTCAAGTCACTGCTGAGGTCCTGCCGGGCCTCACCAGGTGCAGAAGCCAAGAGCCAGCCCACCCCGAGGAGCCTGGAAGCCTCTATGAAGCCAGGACCCAGCTGCCTCTGTTTCCAAAGCTGTGCGCCCGTGGATCAACGGGGATCCCACTCACCTGTTTGTTCAGAGCCTGTCCGTCCCTTCTGTGTGCCCTGCAGGCTCCCAGGTGGCGCTGATGCCGCTGGTCTGAGGACCAGCCACACCTGGAGTCACAAGGGGCTAGGAAGTGCATCTTGGAATCTGAATTCCCCCCTGAAATGCCAGTTCCTGGGTACACACACCCTCCCCAGCTCCTCCCGCTGGGCTCCATCAGGCAGAATCCCCAGAGCAAGGCCTGGGGCTGCCCCCAGGCTCCTCACCTGGGCTGTTCCCACTCTGGCACATGCTTGTTAACCGAGGGCCTCGTGAACTGTACAAAATGGAAAAAGCCATGGATTCCATGGCTTCAGAATCTTCTTAGTGCCCAGGGTGTAGCCGCAGGGAGTTTTTGATAAGCTTCCTGGACTTAGAGTATGCTGTAGCGTTCATAGGATAGGTCTTTAATCAGGCAACTCCTGGAGAGCTCAGAGAGCGCGCACCAGCGTGGGGGCAATGAACACTCCCTTCCCAGGGGCGCGACGTTGCCCCTCCTCGCATCAAGCGGTGGAGGCTGCTGCTCTCCGCGGCAGTTTCTCTGCACCACGTCCTCCCTTGCAGTCTGTCCCCGGGGTTTGTTTGGGCCACTGGGACAGTAGCAAAAGTGAGGCAAGCAGAGGTTTGAAAACTACTGGTGCCTGAGACTCAGTATTTACTCAAAAGTGTGGAAAACTCCCATCCACACCAACACCCGCACGTGTCTGTCTACGGCAGCTGTCTTCACAATTCCCCGAACCTGGGAGCCACCAAGACACCCTTCAGCATGTGAACGGGGACCCAAGTGATGTCGCATCCAGACAACGCATCTGGATCCAGTGCTGAGGGAACATGAGCTATCAAGCTACGGAAAGACCTAAAGGAACCTTAAATGCAAGTTGCTAAGAGAAAGATGTGAGCCTGGAACACTGACATTCCCACAGCAGGGTTCCAACTGCATGACATTCTGGAAAAGCCAACACTAGGGAGAGTGTAGATCAGAGGCCCGAGGGGTGGGGGTGGGGGATGAGCAGGCAGAGCACAGAGGACTTGGGGGGCAGTGGAAGCTGCACTGCAGGGGTGCACGTCTGTCCTAACCCATGCAGTGTCCAACAGTGTCACCAAGAGTGAGCCTCGGTGCAAGCAGTGGTGTCGCGTGGCAGTGATGTGTCAGTGGAGGGTCATCTAGCAAAGGTGCCACTCTCATGGGGACAGCAGGATTTGTCTTCCCCAAACTCAGGCAAGTGTTTCAATGCTGCCATCTTTGTGTTAATGCCAATGGGTTAAAGGTGGAGCCTCAGAGCCATCTCTGTGGTGTAGTGGGTAAAGCCACCACCTGCAGTGCCAGCATCCCATATGGGCGCCAGTTCAAGTCCCAGCTGCTCCGCTCCAATCCAGCTCTCTGCTATGGCCTGGGAAGGCAGTAGAAGATGCCCAAGTCCTTGGGCCCCTGCACCTGCATGGGAGACCTGGAAGAAGGTCCTGGCTCCTGGCTTCAGATTGGTACAGCTCTGGCTGTTGCGGCCATCTTAAGAGTGAACCAGCAAATGGAAGACCCCACCCCCTCTGCCTCTACCTCTCTGTAACTCTGCCATTCAAACAAATAAATAAATCTTTTAAAAAATAAAAGGGTGGAGCCTTGGTCTAGCTGTGGTGCCCAGCGGCGGGCCTGCAGGGAGGTCTGTGAGCCCTTGGACAGTGGTTTGATTTTTTGACGTCCGGGTCAGCCAAAGCTGGCTCTGCCCCTGCCTGTCTTACCATGTGACCGCACCTTGGCACCTGTCAGCACAGCCTCATTCAGATGCGGGATCCTGTGACCTCCAGCCAAAACGGAAGGAAACCTTTCCTTTCCCAGGGATGCGCCTCTAGGTGTTCTAGTTACAGCAGCAAAAGCAACCAATAGCGCCCCCTGCTGGGGATGCTGATGACAGGCCAGCGGCTGAGTAGGGGACCCCTCTTCTTTCCGCTCAGCATTGCTGTGAACCTAAAACTGCTCTCGAAGACAAAGTCCGCTTTAAAAAAGCGCTGCCTGCCGGCGCCTGTTCCTTCTGCTGCTCACAGACCCTGTGGCCCCCGTGTGCAGAAAAGCCCAGGAGAGGCTGCTGGGCACTGACGGCCAAGCCACGAAGTCAGCGACAGGGGCACCCAGGCCTCCAGTGTGGGGTGAGGACTCACCGTGCCCACAGGGGCGGCTGACGCACCCAGAACGACGTCTCGGCGAAGACGGCAGACTGGACACAGGGAGCTCTGTCCCTCCTGAAACCCCACGGGAGGGGCAGGGAACAGACGGCTGCAAAGGCACAAACCTACAAGGACGCCCATGAGAGGGGACAGCAGCGAGCACTCGGGCAGCTGGAGAGCAGGCGGGCGAGGGGGCCGCGCGGCAAGCCCTGGGTGCTGGGAGCACAGGAGCAGCCTGAGCCTGTTCTGGCCGCTTCTGGAAGAAGGGGTGGGCTGGAGGAGGGCTCACAAGGGAGGACCGGCGAACGCCCTGTGGGAAGAGGCTGGATTCTCAGGCCCTGCCCGTCAACCCCAGGGCGGTGACCAAGGAACCCGAAACCCTGGCGGGCCGTGCTGTGAAGGCCCCGGCTGCTCCCTCAGCCAACAGGTCCTGGGCACTGCCCTCTCCCACCTGTCACCAGGGTTCCAGATGTCGGGGGGCGGGACACGAGGAAGCACAGCACCCAGTGGTGACACCATGGCAGGGCCACTGGGGACACTGGAGAGTGAGCATGAGCAGGTGTGGGAGGGAGTGAGCTCCCCACCACTCTGGGTGTGTAAGCAGGGGTCCTGCCACCCAGCCTGCAGGGATGGGTTGGTCTACAGGAGGTGACATGCAGGCCACAGGAGTCCTCCAAGCTTTCTCAGGGGTCGCGTCCTCAGGCATGCCCCAAGCCCTGCAGCCACGCTGACTTCCCATTCCCCCAGCCTCAGCACGGGGTCACCAGGGGGCCTTTAGGTGTGCCCGCTGGCCTTGGCTGTGGCCAGACTTTAGACCTCAGTGGCCCTCAGCACCCCATGGAGTGCCTAACCCTGCCCCACCCCTGCTCCCAGAAGGGTCCCTGGAGATCCCATCACCAGCCCTTCCCCTCACCATGACACAGGGCTCAGTAGAGCATCAAGGTCAGAGGCAGCACTGCCCGGGGAAGTGGTTCTGGGCAAGTCATTTAACTCCCCTCTGACCACATCGGGTGCTGTGTAACACGAAGGTGACAGTGGAGACTGAAGGAGCTTGCACCTGGCCCAGGGTCGGCACTGTTGTCCCTCATTTCCCCTTTAATGCAGCCACAACTGCAGGGGGCTGCAGGGAAAAGCCCCCTTCCTAGGAGGAGAAACCCTACAGGCACACCAGCAGGGCTAGAGGGGGCTCATGAGGGGGATGGAGGAGCCACAGGAGCCCGAGGAGGTTGTCAGGTGCTGGGGACCCCAGAGAGAAGCACAGGTGTCCGTCCTGAAGCAGGAAGCCAGCAGTGCAGGGAACATTCTGGAAGGACACGGCCACAAGGCAGGAAGGGAGGGGCTTGGGATATGAGGCAAGGAGAGCAGCGTGCTCACAGGAGCAGGGCAGGAGGAGAAACCGAGGCATGAGCCGGGACAAGCCTGCTAGGGTTGGGGGGCTGCACGGCCTGAGGGCATGGTGTCCTGTGGTGCGGGCACTGGGCAAGTGGCATGGGCTCTTGCCTTGGTGGTTGCTGGCGTCACTCATGGTCTCATGATGACCACGGGCGTCTGTCTGGACACAGATGGAGCAGAGCACCTGCCAGCAGCAAGGACTGAAGCTCTGGGGATTAATGAACTTGGGCTCCAGACGGGAGGGCCGGTGTTCCTGGAGTTCTCGCCCAGTCTCGGAATCCAGCTTGTAGCTCGTGCGGGTCAGCTTTTCAGGACCTTAACTGGAACACCGGAGCTGAGCT